GGTCGATATCCATCCACTCCTTAGCCAGATTGCCGGAAATGCCGAGATTCCCAAACCGCTGGATCGCTCAACCTACGCAGTCGCCAGATCGAAACCTGGGGCAGTTCCGTTGTCGTGCAATCTCTTATCGCCGAGGATCCTCAGTGGCAAAGTATGAACGCGGCCTTATGGAGATCTTCAAGATGACAAAAAGCAGGACAGCAGGATTCAACCAATGAGGCAAGCACCATTGTCCTAGTGACCCCTCCCATATCGCGTATGTATTCTTTCAAACTAAAGAAAAACACAAATAATTAGAAAAAAAGACGCTATGATTGACTTTCAGCACATAACAGTTTCCATTATAAATGGAATATGTTGTTTCGGAAAATTCACCATTGCCCACGTTGGAACATCAACTTATTCTTAAACAGCCAAGAAAAAAAGGGACTTCTAGTTCAACGTAGGAGGGATAAAAACGGACACCTTCATCACATTTCGCATGTTGCAACTCAAAAATCGTCTAAAATCGGTAGGTTTCACCGCTTTAATCACTAACGCTTTCAAGGGTACAAAATAGAAGAACGGCACTAACTTGGTAATTCAAATAGTATTTCAACAGCGACTACACATTATGTCGGGTAAATGACTAGAATGAAACTTAAACTCTCCGAAAGAAAACGACGCTCCCCATAAGAAAACGACAAGTCAGAAAATGAAACAAAGAAAGTGCAAGCACGGAACGAACTGATTCGTTCAAACACTAAGTTTTCCCGCCGAGCAAATAAAGGCGGAAAATTCAAAAGCGCCTTTTCAAAGAACAGCATTTTCAGCAGAAACGTTCCAAAAAATGACTAATATTCCCTACTGAGGTTCTCAGAAGTGAACAGAGAACTTACAGACTTCAAGTAAAGCGGTGAAATAAACAAAAGACGGCTAGAAGCCAAATTTCAAAGGAGCGTCAGTTCCACCTGACAATTTTACGGTTTCTCTGTTCTCGATTATTGACAGAGTTGGTGGGTTCTGTAAAACCTCTGCAATTTACATAAATACCCTAATGTACGAACACTTAAGTATTTAAAGGACTTAACAAAGTTAGCGCCTGTGGTCCCGCATGGAAGGGAGGTTATTGGGCGGAAAGTGACAAAATTCAAATGTCCAAGTGGACACTGGCTACATTGGCCATCTCTCTGTTCCTTCTTTCTCGATATTTATCAAAGAAATTGACTGTTCATCGTAGCCCTTTGTTTTGACCGTTATAGAACCATTACCATTTGTCATCTGGAAGCTGAGCATCTCATACAATATTATTTCAGTCCTTCATGGCCCCACCCGGAGAGCACTATTCCTTGGATGACTTTGTGAAGTTGGACAAGATTGGTGAAGGTAATGATTTGCATAGCTGCCGGTCCGTTTACATTCCACGGAGGTATTGTGAAACAAGCATCTCACAAGGATCCGCGTTCGAGAGTGGGGGTATCGAAAAGCGCGGAGACAAGAGGATGTCCTTCCTTTTTTCAGGATGTATCTGGTTAGCCGCGAATGGCCTCCCTTCTGTTATTTCGTTCCTCTTTTCTTCCCTCTTTCTTCCTTTCCTCCATTCAATGGTTCGGCCAACGGCGCGGCGGGAAAATGTCTCTGAATTGTCGCGGCGAGAGAAAGCCAGGGCACGTCCTACGTCGGAGAATCCCGGCAGCGGGAAGGGGGGAGGTCGTTTGGTAGAAAGAAATTTTTGATAGTAGATTCCGGACGCTGTTCACATCGTTGAGAATTCAAAGGAGGAAGTCGTATTTGCCTTTGAGAGGAATTTGTTGCGCACCCTCCCCCCCCCCCTTCCAGCTCGATGGCAAAAGCTCAGCATGGGGTTCCATATGGGACATCTCTGGTGGGTTTTCCTGTGTACTGTTCTTCACCTAGTTACCATCTTGTCATCAGTATTCGAGTCGCACAACATACCATCTTGGAACCCGGCCATGTCTCTAAGAACCGTGTTTGCTCAGACTAGTCAGAATCTCCGTCCACCGAGCAGCCAAATTAGCAGTGGGTTCGTCTGGAGACATGAAAACCCTGTCTTTCACAGTTCGCAATTGATCGCATATGCCCAACCGCATTTGAGAGCTGTCGCATTTTCGGGTGGAAATCCAATGCGCAGCGCAACCCTGGACTGATCAGCGGCGAAAGCTTTACAGTTCCTTCATTTGTGGCACCTTTTGATTGGAATCTCCCTTACTGGTCCTTCAGAAGAGTACATGAGTACATTTAAGAATGATGGCTTTTTTAAAGGTACATATGGAGTGGTGTACAAAGGAAAACACAAGAAAACCAATAAACTTGTTGCTATGAAGAAAATCCGTCTCGAAGGCGAGGACGAGGTCCGAGATTTCGGTATATTTCTTGTATTTCACTCGTTTTTATTGTTGTCGCAATTTTCAGGGCGTCCCTTCGACTGCCATTCGTGAAATATCGCTGCTGAAGGAACTCACACATCCGAATGTGGTCGCATTGGAAGATGTCATTATGCAGGTAAACTATATCAAAAGGTTTTCTTTGTTGTGCATATAATGAAACTAGAGTTTCATTATATGCACAACAAAGAAAACATATGAATCAATGAAACTCAGGAACCCTCTGATATTGCATATCAAAAGGATAAAATCAAGTATTAAATCAAATTTAGACAAGTAGAGGTAGTAGGAGTCATGATAGCATTTGAGATCCAGTTTGCAGCTCATTTCAGGTCATCAGCTGGCCTCACACAAGGAGTCGCGGGGGCCAGCTGATGTACACTTCATTGTATCTAACCTACCATATAAGGCAGGGTGAACTGGAGGGATCGCTTGCTTCACCCTGACGGGAGGCCTCGCGAATTTTTGAGCCCATAGCTCATGGCTCAGTATACGCATCCATACTTTACGGCAGTGTTTCGAGCGTCTGTCAGCGTTTTGAGCGTTTCGAGCGTTTTTGAGGTGGGAAAATAGCCTTATCAGCCTAGCGTATTGAACTTTCGCCAGGTGTTCGGCGGTACCGATACTTACCCATTCTTGGTCGCTCAAATCGCTGGCGAACGCTCAAAATGCTATACTGGTACCTATACCTCCTAATCGCTGAAGACGCTGGCAGACGCTCAAAGCGCGTAAAGTGCTCAAAACGCTGGCGGAAAGTATGGACGCCTTCTGGTTAATGCCAGTCTAAAGATTCATGGGATCCTCGGGTTGTTGAAAGCGTCTCTTTTCACTTCTCAGCAATGTATAGATTCTTCTGAATCTCGCGCAAGTATGAAGATGAAGATTTCATGGAACGGCAGGTGACGTAATTGGTAGAAACAAAATCGCCATAGACCATAGTTTACTGCGAACGTGTAAAATCATAGGTTGTTGGATCAAAACTAGAAGAAGAAGTGCTCGACCCTCTGTGACTCATGTTTATTACCGTAAAGTTTCACAGTGTTGTGAACAGCAAGCGCCCATCTTACGACTGATGATACAGTTATGATATGAGTAGTGCGCGCAAAATCGTTCCTCCTCGGTACATACCATGTTTTGTTGGTTCATTTTCTAGATGGTGTGAAGGCAAGTGGACCGTTGACTACGCGCACGGTGCAAGAGTGAAGCCTTGTATTGACTTCTGCCTAAGCTATCTATCCTTACGATGCCCGATAGATAAGGATCATTCTGTTTTGGGAGGCTAGAAACACTGCTGACAGATAGATTGAGCGGTCCCGCAGGTCATGGTATAGGCCGTATCGCTTCCAAGGACAAGTACGAGTCCGAGTGGGAGTGGAAGTGTTTGTCAGCCTGAAAAGGGGTTGATCAGTGCTGGAGCCGCGATCGCTTAAGTTTTTAACACGTTCCGGACCGCGTGACACACATGGTGTGTCACAAATTTATCGCTGTCAAGTGCTTTATTCTGCCAATTTGACATGTCTTTCATGTTCTAATATTGCCAAAACATTTTCGCGAGTATGAATGATCCCATTCTTCATGAGCGATTGAAAAGAGGCAGGAATTTCCTGATGAAACTCATGAAAAATGATGAAATGATGGGCACATGCGCGCAATACGGCGGTCCGCAATGTGTTAAACATTTCTTACTTTACATATGAGAATGCATTTGTGAACTGCTGCACGTGGTGATTTTCTTTAGGAGAATCGCCTTTATCTGATATTCGAGTTCCTTTCGATGGATCTTAAGAGATATTTGGATCAGTTGCCCGCTGACAAGCGGCTTCCTCCTGCCGAATGTAAAAGCTACATGTTTCAGGTACGTGTGAGTAGTTCTCAAGCAAGGCATAACCTCCCTAGAACGCTCTTTGCTTTTTCCAGCATAGATGACTTTTGCTTAGTTAGCTGGCAGGAACTATCACCCCATCACCCCATATATATAATTCGCTTCGTCTGTTTGTTTGTTGTTTGTTTGTTTGTAAGTTTGTCTGTCCGGAAATTCGGTTCGACCTGAAGAACGACTTGGAGAGGTCGGGTCAAGGTGGGGATGGGTAGGGCATGGGACAAGAAATAAAAAGCACACTTGACCTATGGGAAGCCCCGCCCACAGTGGGCGGGGCACTCGCTGAAATTTTGGGGTTCCACAGAAAAATGTTCATAATTCGCTTCCGGAGCAGCCTAAGATGGGGAAAAAGGGAATAAGGTTAGTAAGGAGTCGCCAGACTAACTGTGGCAGACACATCCAAAATGGGCGGGGCGTACTCAAGGTGGGCGGTGCTTCGCATAAAACTCAGTAACTCGGTTCGCGAGAGTGTTCAGAAGCCGCAAAAAGCTCAGTGCAGAATGTAAATATCTGGCGAGTATTGGGCATGCCTCAAAATGTGTTGAGATCCGCCCACAGTGGGCGGAGCTTGCCCTAAACCGCAGGATACTCACTTTAAAAGTTTGTAGCTCGGTTCCAGAGCACTGCAAAGACCGGAAAAACGTGCGTCAAGGTCGGCAAAGGTTCGCCGGTGAGGACTGTGGGGCAAAAACATTGTGGGCGGAGCCTGCTCCGAGGTGGGCGGAGCCAGACAAAATCTCTTCAAAGCTTTCTCCAGAGCACTCCGAAGACCGGAAAAAGTGGATTAAGGTCAGCAGAGGGCCGAAGGTGAGGACCGTGGGGCAAAAACGTTGTGGGCGGAGCCTGTTTCGAGGTGGGCGGAGCCACACAAAAACTCTACAGAACGGTTGCAGAGCACTTCAGACACCGGAAAAAAAGTGGATTAAGCGGTCAGGCAGCGAGGAATCGCTCTTGCAGAGTTGCGGAGCGACGAAAAATTGGGGCGGGGCCAGCCCGAGGTGGGCGGAGCCAGACAAAAATTCTCCAAAACTCTCCCAGAGCACTCCGAAGACCGGAAAAAAGTGGATTAAGGTCAGCAGAGGTCGAAGGTGAGGACCGTGGGGCAAACGTTGTGGGCGGAGCCTGCTTCGAGGTGGGCGGAGCCAGACAAAAATTCTCCAAAACTCTCCCAGAGCACTCCGAAGACCGGAAAAAAGTGGATTAAGGTCAGCAGAGGGTCGCCAGTGAGGATTGTGGGGCACAAAAATCAGGGGCGGAGCCTGTTTCGAGGTGGGGCGGAGCCACACAAAAACTCTGCAGAACGGTTCCAGAACACTAGACACCGGAAAAAAGTGGATTAAGGTCAGCAGGGGATCGCCTGTGAGGAGGGCGGGGCACAAAAATTGTGGGCGGATCTGCTCTGAGGTGGCGCGAGTCGAGTGCAAAGAATCTGATAAAACAGCTCAAGAGCACTTCAGACACCGGAGAAAAGTGGAGTACAGAACAAAAGGCGGATATCAGTTGAGTCTAGAAATATGTGAGAGAAGGTACGCGCGGCGAAGCCGCGCCCGCCCGGCGCAGCCGGGCCGTATCAGAAGGAGCCGCGCCGGCGTCAGCCGGCGAGGCGACTGGTATATATATTACTATATTTTATTTCATTAGCTTTCTTTTGCCTGAGTCTTCGGCCACTGCAGGAGGTTATCTACACTCTATTACAAGCATAGCATTTTTTTCTAGCGTCTTCGCCGGCGCACTTCTTAACAAAATGATGTGAACTAACATGCAGTTGTTTTGACATACTGATTACAAATAATACATACGCTTTGTTGGAGCCATTCAGTGCCAAGATAGTGCCATCGTTTTTTCCGGGGACCCGGCTCCCTCCTTGCTCCTCCAAAATGGTCGCAAACCTGCTGCTTGGAATAATTGGGGACGGCGATCGCGAACACGCGCTGACTGTGGGTAGCAGTGCCAATCAGCGCTCTGTTGGGGCTGGGACTGGGAGGAGGAGGACCTCTCTTCCCCAGGTACATACTTGTAGCAGGCTCCGGATGACCAGACGCCAGAAACCGCGTATCGTTTCCGCGCGCCTCCACCACACGCTGAATGTAATATTCTAGATGCATACGCTCAAATATTCCCGTATGAACCCATCGATTTTGGTAAAAGGGTGGTAGCGCCAAAGCGTTTCTGTGCAAAAAAAAAACCAATGTCACATTCCTGATCGGTACATTGAAAAATCTCTATAGATGAAGTTCCAGCGAAAATTTTTCTCGATTTCGGGTTTATTGTGGTTAAATGGTGCCAACTACTTCTTTCCAGATTTGCCAAGCTATCTGCTTTGCTCACCAACGTCGTGTAATCCATCGGCGATTTGAAAGCATCATAATCTTCTTGTGACTGAAGGGTGCCATCAAGCTGGCTGATTTTGGTCTGGCTCGAGCGATTGGGATCCCTGTGCGAGTCTACACTCATGAAGTAAACTTTACACATTTGCCAGTCTGCGAAAGTTCCATATAGATCAAAAACGTTACATCTCTGAAATCGTCGGTGGATTTTAGGTTGTCACTTTGTGGTACCGTGCTCCAGAGAAATCTACTGGGA